AGAACACTGAAAGTTTACGAGGAGAATAACTCATCGTCTGGTGCAGAAACTACTGAGACTAATCTCCCGGACTCCATATATAAACCATTATCGCTGTGATTCCTCCCATCGAACTTTTATATGCCATCTATAATATTAGAATTGAGACTGTTAGGCCCATTTCACACAGGACGGTTTTGTCCGTGCGGATTTTATTCGTACGATTTTTCTCCGCACGGACGTTGTTTTCACACAATACGGTTTTTCCCCGTGACGGCACGGCGCCGTGATTTTCAGTCGTTGACACGGCTGTATCACGGCGACCATACGGATAAAATTCGCCCACCGTCCCGTGTGAAAGCCACAATTAATTTTATTTATTTACTACCAAATAAAATCCGTACGATTAAAATCCGCACGGACGAATCCGTCCTGTGTGAAATGGGCCTTAATCGACCGTCTCATTCGTTTTACGCGTCGTTTTTCGTTAATCGTTATCGATTATTTCAAAAATAGTGCAGTGCTGTTTTTCCAGAGCGTATACGTATACATATATACATACCATACGTGTATCAATACACGTACCAAATCGAGAGCCCTAATCAAGATGCACAGAAATTATAATAAATCATAGTAAAAAAATCGTAAGAAAAAAATCACTGACAGATCGTTATGTATTGAAAATATCAACTTAAATTGTTAACTAGTTTAATGCTCAACCTTGGATTTACTGTTTATTCTATTTTAAACGAGGTTATTAAAAAATAAAACATACAATTTCAATCTTAGGTGACTTATTGTTTGTAAATTATCAGTTTTCACGTGAGTCTTTGATAAACACTATACGATGTGCTTTGTTATAATTCAGTTCAATCAAATAAACTGCGAACCAATAAGATACCATGGTAGTTTTAATCTCAACTAATGTTTTAGAACTATTATATATAATTATTTGATAGCGGAAAACGATTCGAGTAAAAGATTTACCTCGCCGATAGCAATATACACAGTACAGCTAATTTTTATTTCTTCAAATGTTAATTCAATCAATGGACCATTTGGTTTTGGGTGTAAAAATATATATAGTTTTTATCCGGGGTTTTATTAATAATTGGAAAATTCGCCAGTAATTCTTCTTAATCTAAGTAAAAAACCGTAAAAAAACTTGGAGCCGCTGTCGTATACAATAAACGATTGCCTTTGTAAATAATCGATGGATATCAATGATAATATTTAGAACTTTAATTTGATAAATAATATGATTATAAATATTGTAAAATACTATTAATTAGTATGCATGTAAAAAATAAAAAATAAAAATAAAATGCAAAATACATGATTTAATGTTTGCTGCAGTTGTTGACATAATTTTTTAGGCACAGCTATCCGGGTAGGTTAGTCTATTTATCAAATACACAACATATTATTTTATAATACAAATATATTATATTTTAGTTTGTCATTTTACTCTTATATTCTATTTCGATTAAGTTTATTTGGTAATAAGTTATTACTAATAACTTTATTGAGTTGTAATGCTTGCTTTAAAAAAAAACAAACGATAATAATAATTAAATAATCTCGTCAATTTTTAATTTTTAACTATTCGTAACATAAATCAATAATGAATACTATATTATAAATAATATTAAATTGTCGTTTCTCGATTTGTGTTTTACCACCTACCGGTCAGAAGAAAATTTAATTTGGAGCTCAAAATCAGTTGCTGCGTACAGAGCGGTTGACATGTTACATCACTGTATAACTCGTATACTTACTAAATGTATACTCGTATTGTAACAGTTGTGGAAAAACTTTGGATACTGTTCTGTTGTTACCGAGTTTTTTCGGTAGGTCACATGTATTGAAAGGTAGGTACCCAATATTGGTTAATGTTTGTTTGGTTTAGATACACTATGTAAGTTAGGTATGTAATATACGTAAGTGTACGTTGACTGGTATGATAAAATGTGTGTAAAGATGTACTTAGAGAAGTATATGAGTGACACACAACGAGAAAAAAAAAAAAGGGGAAAGAATACATCAACAGCAAAGGTAGGTAAAACAAAAACGGACGAAGAGTAAGTGGTCGTTAAATAAAAATATAACTTATAGGTAGTATACACGCGTACAAAAAAATAATATGACCGCATGCACATTTATGGAAAATATAAAATGGTAGGATTTTTCGCATATGAACTTTTCTGTCGGAATTTTGAGCGTATATTATTTATTTATTGATGTCGGACACGATGGCAATGGAATTCGAGGGAAACATATTTTGGTGTTTATGAAACTTTAGGTAGTAAGATTAGTTCAAACATCGCATAGTCCATAATTGTATCGATCAAACAGAAATTTATTTGTATTTATCACATTTGTTTGGCATTGATGATGTTTTTTTATTTTTAGTGGATTAAGATTGATTTCGAGGAATGTCACAATCATTACAACCGTCTCAAATTTTCGGAAAAATTGCATAAAAAAAGTTAAGGTTACTTTGACATATAGAAAACAATAGTTTTAAACCGATATTGGTATTATTTTATAAAATTATTGACATTAAATATGTTTCCTATCGCTCATATTGAATCTCGGTACTGCCTACAAGGGGGGGGGGGGATTTCCGAAATAATAACCCAATCACGCTTTTTAAATTTACATGCGATACGCTAATAGAGGTAGAAGAAGTGCGTCCTCAATCAAAATTTAGCACCAAGAGCCGTAGTGATAGTGATAGTGACAGTTAGGACGTGCCTTAAAGAACAATGGCAAATAGTTTTTCTGAGGAAATCACGGACGGCTTATGCAAAAATCGAAACATGTTATTAGAACGTATGATGGCGTACGAAAACGTTGAAAACGAAAAAATAATAAAACAATAAAATGTAAGAGAAAAAAAAACGAATCAATTAAGTAAAAAACCACAAGCATAAACTAAATAGACTAGTAAACATAATTTATACGTACATGAATACATAATATCAATACAAAATTATATATTATGTGTTTATGATAAGTGACCATATGGCAAATGGGTTAATATATAATGGTCGTCAAAATAATGTCTTTAAAACGATAAAAATTAAGGTACTCATCTGTCAAAAATAAGCGGAGTGAAAAAAGTTATTCTTTAATTTGTGAGCAAAAAAAAAAAAAATTCATAGGAGCACTTCAATTTTAATCAATAAGTTAATATTTCGGTCTATATTAGTTCTAACGATATCATTGAGACATGAAGATTTATATATATATAGATTTCTTTATATAGCTTGCTTTCTAACTAAGAATTTAAAAATAGATACAATTTTAGAAATAAAACGAGTTGCACACCAATTCGAATTAATTTTGTAATATGTGTGAAGCAAGGGATTTTTATTAAAAAAATTTGAATGGAAGAGATGTTTGAAAAAAAGTCACGGGGACCTTAATAACATTAAAATCGTACAATCGAATAAAAAATCCACCATCATACGTATGAGAATTAATTATAAATTGAAAGTCAATTAACAAACATAGATCGATTGATGGTGAAAAACTCTAGTAGATTCACGCGAGTATCACATAGTATTGTTTAAAAGGATCTTGTTTTATTTTTAAGACTTAGATGTATTTGTTTTTTTTTGTTTTTGGCTCACAAACTTCAATATTATTTGCAGACCAGATAGGCACATTGGCGTACATTACATGTCAAAATATTATATTCATACATGTACGTATAAATGTAAGTACAGTTTCGAGGTTAGGACTCTATAAAATTATAACATATCATATGGTGTAATATATGTATTGCGTTCATCTACGTGGATTCAAATATACATTCAAGAAAGCCGAATCATTTCAAACGCAACACAGATTTGGCAGTCGCGGGGGTAACACGTATACGCACACACGCTATTTTTTTTCTACCTTCAGCACCATAATCATTATTATCTTGACCGTCATCATCATCATCATCATCACCATCATCAAAATCATCAATCTCGGCTTCCTCTACAATCGTAGCACACTTCTGTCTGTTCGGTATAGCAGCAGGCAGTATCGACGATGTGTCTGATACGTCTGACACGTTCATTGCTAACCTCTGCATTTTATGCACCATGGATATGGCGTTCATAAGTTGCTGGAAACATGATCATGATCATCTTAACGTTTTTTTCAATTTATTTTTTTTAAATTTAAATTTTTTTTTAGCCATCCGATATCTGATACGAAGATCTCTTCGTATATATATTTATAAAATAAGTATATTATCTAAGTGGATATTTCTCAGGCAGCTATTGTTTAATTGGTAGTGTGTTTTAAACCTTTTTTTTCAATTTTAAACACAATGATATTACTATAATGTACCCAGAATTCTTTTTCTAAATTTACATCAAGAAAAAAACAAAGTTTTCAATATTTTATTTACAATATGATCCAGCAAATTAAATATTGTATGAATTAATATTATCATGTTTGATCTAAATAAGTATATTGAATTTTTAGAGCCATTTAACTTTTCGGTAGGTGATATTTTATCAGATATTAGAATCGTCTTATGCAGTCGATCCTAGACAAATGTTGTTCAAAATGTTTCCAATACATTTATGAATATTACAACTTTAAGTGCTAATGGCAAGTAATGGCAAAGTTTAAATTTTTTAACATTTTTTTTTTCTTACATTTTATTCTTAGTTCATACATGAGTAAAAATTGTGATTTCCGTTAGAAAAAGAATAAACCAAAATATAATCAAATTGTAAATTAATTTTGCTACATGCTACATAGCTATTTAAATTAACCACCCTGTATTTTAATACGAAATATTTTAATTAATTTTTTTTATTATAATACACATAACTTTTACATAGTAAATAATTGTTATTATATGATTTAGACTAGCGATTCAATTTTTCCGTCTTTATATGTTTTATTTATTTTATAAAATAATCATGGAAATAAATGTTAGGATTATATTATTATGACAAGCGTGGTGTGCACGTTCTCTGGCTTACACGCGTTGTATAACAGATACGTACCTTCCATCTGGATTTAGCGAAGTTCTTTTTGAGCTGTGCGGAAACGGTTCCGTGAATGTTTTTGCTGCTGGCCGCGTTGCCGGAAATCCTAGAGAAAAAAAGTTCACGAGCTCATCATATACACCGCATACACTAAATTATTGATATTATGACAAACGTTGGTATCACAAATTTGATTAATTCTTCAAAACAAAAAGTTATTTTATTGAAACTCTTATTACACTTTTTATTTCATAAAATCCCATTCTATGAATTTTTTTTTGTTCTACTTAAGATTTGACAAAATATATTCGTATCACGAGAATTTATCGTACCTATTATAGTAATTAGGAGCAACCAGTTGTCTTAATTTATGAGCGATTGAATGTTTAATTTATGATTTTTATCAGATTGATAAATAATTTGAAATTAGATCATTGAAATCTACTCGTTTCGATAATTCTAATATATAATATATACGTATATTAGTACATTTTCATAGGATCAATATTTTTACGAAATAATTTTAAATATATGTATATAAACATTCTAATTTTTGGACGTTTGTGACATTGCGTGTTGCAAAAATTCGTATATTTCGCATATTATTTGGAACGAAATCAATAACGAATGATTTTATCGAAGAACAATCAATAGATGCATTATAACGCACAATATTATCTAGAATTTTAGATAAGTACACATGAATAATTTGGAATGGTATTTTGTTTTATTTTTTTAATTTATGTGTATTATAGGCCAAGGCCCAAGATAGAGAAGATATTGTTTTAATAACAAACGACATTTTTGAATTGTAAATGCAATAAAAACATAAAAAAACTTACGGCGACCACGGGGTGTAAGGATAATTTTGAAAAATTTCTAAGGTAATAGTCGACAGTACGATTGGTAAATGATTAATAGTGGGATAATCAAGGAAAAGAAATTTCATTTAATTGAATTTTGTAAAAAAGATTTATATAAGGTCTCAGACGAGAAAATATGTATAACAAGTACCCAGGACCGGCGTTAGGAGAATGCAATAACCCCTACGAATAACCTACATAATAGTCGGCAATCATTAACAAATTAAATAATATTAGTGCTGTAGAATTTTGTTTTAGAAAGTGGTTGGTCAACAAATTTGAATTTGTATATTTATAAATCCCTCTTCATCAATATTTGCTAGCACCAGCCCTGCAGTTACATGTTTAGCAACGATATCACTATGATAACAGTTCATAGCCGAAAATATTTACAAACTTTTCGAACAATATAGTTATATTTTTAGAAATATAAAAACGCTTGATCACGTCTCGTCAGCATTATTATTTTGTCTGTGATGAACGGTTGTTGTAAATTATCGTTAGGAGGTCAATATTTATAATATTTATATTGCTATATTTGCAATATAGCATGGATTTGTGGCTTTGCTACAGTTTCACATAAAAAATAAATAATTTCACACGGAATAATTTGATCTAAGACTGGGGAACGCTTTGTGTCCGAGCTTGACCTTCAGGTGACAACAATAATGTGTAAAATCCCTGTCGTAGACTTACCATGGATGAGCCAATGCTTCTCGGCACGTGTAACGTTTATCCGCGTCCACACACATCAATTGCCTTATAAAGTTTTTCGCCGAATCGCTAATGTCGTCCCAGTACGGAGAATCGAATTCGAATTCACCTGCAAAATATCGAACGCAAAAGTTAGATTTTACTTTGGATTTGAATGAAAGTCAATGTCATTTATTCGTCGACACAATGTTTTATCAACAATGTCTTACGGAACCAAGAAGCGGCCGATTAAGACCGGTAAGGGGAAAATAAAATGAATCAACTTCTACAACATCGAGTTTCATCAAAAAAAATATTCCAAATGTAGTGATATTATACATTGCAAAACGTTTATAGTTATGCAAATAAAAATTTTTTGCAACTTAAAAATTTCTGTAAAACAATATAAAAAATACTAAAAAAAAAAAAACACAAAACTCAAGTTTTAACTTTAAAATTTTATGTGCCTCAGCTCTACAAGAATTGACCTCGAATCATAAAAAGATTATTAGAATTAAATAGGGCATGAGTTGGTAAAGTATACGATTGTAATCTATAATAGTCAGGACTAAAGACAATCGGCTTGGACATGATTTGTATTGATATTAGAAAAATTGTTGGTGTACATAATGGAATTTAATTATTCAGACGGACAAAAGTCGGCAAAATTAATTTATGCCAAAGTGAGCAATTGGGTAAGGGATTAGCACTAAAATCAATCGATAGCAACTGTATAAATGTTTATTCCATTAGCATAAGATTAAGTTAGTTAATAAAAAGTCGGTTCGGTATTAGATTTATATGTAAATAAAAACTTTCAGAAAAATAATTTTTTTGAAAAATTAAATGTAAAGTTTTAGGTTGTCGTTTGAAAATATAAAGTTAACATTATTCACGATTTAAATATTATAATTACAAAAAAATTGTATAAAGCACCTAATACATTAAATTTATATATATATAAAAAAAAGTAATTTGAAAATTGTTTTCTATATACGGCGAGATTGGATATAAAACACAATATGGGTCATAGTATGCAATATGTCATCATTTACACGGGTAATGTTAACAACTGTAGAAAAATGTCGATGTCAGTCATACCTGTACCTACTAACATGTTTTTAAAAACAAATGTGCTTCTAGCGTTACAAAAAAATTTCTATGTACGAAAAAGTCTGCAATATATCAACATTGCGCAGTTAGTATAATTTTATAAAATTAATAATTATGTATTATAACAGGCGTGGATACAAGGGAAGGGGTGAAGCCTCTCCTTAGACATTAGGTAGAATTATATCGGACGTAGGTACTTAAAATATTTAAAAAATTAGACGTAAGACTTCGTACAAATCCATATGCGCAATGAATTATGGCAGTAGCTCACTTTACTAGCTTCCTTTTTTTAATTTTACATCCGCACCTGTATTGTAATATCAAGGATCTAGATTCAATTGAATTAATTAGACATTATCCAGTCGGCCACATTACCCGTGACCTATTGTCACGTTTGAATAGTAATTATGTTATGTATGTGCAATGCGATTTGGTTTACCTTTTAAGATTTGAGCGAAGAGATTCGCGTCGTTCTCGTCGTAAAACGGCGGATAACCGCACAGCAATATATACGAAATCACACCGATGCTCCAAACATCCACGGCTTTTCCATAAGGCTTTTGAGCCAAGACCTCCGGAGCTGAAAAACAAAATGAACGATTAATTAGAAATGTATTTTTGAAACTCATTGATAGATAATGAGTATGAATATAAGAATATGAGTATAATCGTATTGGTGCATACAAGTATTACTATAGCAAGTTAATCGGTCGTTGAGTGTCAGAGTGTCAGTAATATTTTGTTCCGACTAACCTGCCGCATGGAGTTGTAAACACGAATATTTCTTAATTAAATTATTCCTACTGGATGCATAGAGGTGTCCTTCATCAACATAATATTTAATGATTTGTAATATACATTAAATGTGTACGCAGGTATATCTCACATTCCAGTTTTTCAAACAATTTCAGAAAACTATTTGTGCACATGTAACTTCAGTGATTACGTCTTGATTTATCGTTTAGGTTACAAGAAAAAAAATTTGCTGGAGAAGGGTGGAGCCCGTTCGACCAGTTCCATCTCATTATTCTCAAACGTATTTATAAAATGTTGAACAATTATTTAATATTAATTGTTTGTAAAAACAGAACATGCGATAAGTTGGAATTTTATGGCTACCGATATTTTGTTTCAAATAATATACGTGTGTTCAAGATGGTAAACGAACATTCAGTTAAGATGAGGGATAACGAACATTCAGTTAAGATGAGGGATAATAATGGTTCAAGTTAAATTCACAAAAAGTTATACAGTGTTAACTATTTTATTGTTTTAGATTATTTGAGATCGAATCCGGTTTAACATTATGAGCGCAATATTATAACGTCAAATGTATCATTTAAAATGGAAAAGTCAACGGACCGTTAAAAGATTAAATAATGATAATTCGCAATAATGATGTATTTGGTTGTTACAAAGGTTGGTAAATATTTGAACGAATAGGTCTAATTAAATTAAGGATAATATTATACTGCAACTATGGAGAATAATAATTATTTGGTTTAAACTTTTAGAGGCACAGTAATATTTTCGATATGAATGCAGTATAGCTGAAAGTGTATTTGTAAGCTCATTGATAGTATACACCGCAGGTGGCGAGAAGTTCAAAAAAATTAAAAACCAATAGGCCGGGAGTAGATTGTAGTGTAAAACGAAACCATATGGTGGTGAATGCAATCTACGATAGTTTTATGCCGAGACAGAAGTTTTATCCCGAACACCGTGTTTGTGAAATACATTGACGTGACTAGAGTCATCATTTCGAAACAGTCTTTATCGAAATCGAGAATAGTTATGTCAAATTAATTTGAAAATATAATTAGAAACTAATTTTAATTATAATCATAATTATTTTTCAACTCAAGTTTTATAAGTACTTTTAATATTGTAATATTTACTGTACAATGGTGCAAATTCTATAAATATTTCATATCGTACAAAAGCCGAACAGAATGTTTTTAAGTCCGGGGATGTGGGAAGGAACCTTTCGATTCGGTGTCCATAATTCAATAACACCCTCTACTAGTCTCATAATTCTTAGGTTATAATTTATTTGTAGGTGGAATCGCTATTTCCGAGGACGTTTATTTATATTTGATGCGAACATTAGTCAAACCAAGTGACGACAGGATATCATTTCGGCATCCGCAGGCCGAACACATCATACTTGCAACGTATTTTACCCGAAAATGAGACGCGGAAACGAAACGGGCAAAGCAATCTCGATTGAAGGGCTGATGACAATGTCTAAATAGTGAGTTGTTTCACTATTGTGTTCGTAATAGCGTCGGATATTGCTTTTTCGGAAACGCTAATCGTTACATATTTGCCTATGCTGTCTAAGTAGTCATAGCGGTTGATGAATAGCGATTTAGTACGTTCATATATATTTATGTACAGGGTGTTATTTAATCGTAGTGTTTATTTTCGCTAGTAACATTTACCCAAAATACAATTTTTCAAATCTGTTTTTTTTCCTTATAATTTATCTCAACCAATGTGATTTTTTTCTTTACCGGCTTAAGAATGTAAAAAAGAATTGAAAAAATTTACCCACGGTAACAATTGGAATTTGTTTATGCCATCTGAAATGATTAGTTTACTGATAGTCATATTTTTTATTTAAATTTTAAAATGCATACCTCTATGGAAACAATATTTATTTATTTTTTTTTTAATAAAAATGTTTGTAAACATAATTTGAAAATAAAATTTTCAAATTAAAATGCTCCAAATACATGGTGAAATATCAAATATATCAGGAGATGTAATAATAATAATATAAGAAAATCGTCTTAAAAATATATCGAAATATTTTTTGGTAACAAAGTTACTGGTCCTCATCAAACACCCTGTATAATATAAGTGTGTACGGTTTGTGCGTGCGTGTGTACGTGCGTGTGGGTTAAATGGGTCAGAAAGGTTAGATTGTAAATAAGATTGAGAATCTCAGAAACAAAGAGGGATTGTATATATATAAACACAAAGTGAGAGAGAAAGAGAGAGAGAGAAGGGTAGTAGTGTTTCACTCGTGGCACATCATATTATTATAAAAGCGGAGCGTTTACCGGGGCGAAGAATAGAACGGTAGACACTACATTTCCAGCAAGGGTTGACCATTATTCTTGATTCGAGAGCGTATACGAATATAATGGTGTTGTATGAAGAACCAAAAACACCGTTGTCGTGGAGTCATACCATCTCCATAAATTAACCTGTACAGTGTAGCCGCTGTGGTTCACGGCGGAACATAAACACTACGTAAACGGTTGTAGTATTTTAATATTAAACTTTATGAATTCGTTGAAGGTTTATAATTTACCTCTAAGATGAAATAATGTTATTTTATTATTATCATACCGGCGAAGACGCGTAGATGAAGGTGTGAGGAAAATTTTTTTTTGTGAACTGTGCGTGCCAAATGCGTAATAATATATTTTTTGAATACAAATCATTAATAATAATAACAATACACCATTAAAATACCACTGTAATGAAATACATAGTAAAAATGCATAATAAATTATTATAGTTTATTAAATGCATTCGTTAGGTGAAAACTGAATTTAAAAAATATTTTAAACTCAGAATTTTGCTAGTCGTTAATTTCTTTTTCCTTGGCGCGAATTCCGAATTTCCACCTCAGTGTAGAAAAAAAAAACCCAAGAATTCATTAATGTAAGATGTAGGGGGAAAATATCAACAGCATTATTATAAATAGTTTATCGTTGGCTTTTCCTCGTTGAGTCGTTGTCCAAGAGCGACGGTATGCGTATTTGGTGACCCTCATGAGTTTTTCGCATACGCCATTTTAGCGGTAATGAAATTATTAGTTAATTCTTAACGCATATGACCTAAAAACTTTTTTACTATAAATATCATATAAATAGTAGTGGAATTTAATTCGACAATGTTATTAGGTTTTTTTTGTTTCTTAGGAAAACGACAGAGAAAATCGAATTAAAACACTTATCCTCTATGTATCGTAAGTGTATTCGATTAAAAAAAAAATATCTTATAAAACTATTAATGTAGATTTGCAACCAGAAAATGTTTTAACATAAAAAAAAGAACATTATAGTATAATATTCCAAGTTTTACTCAGAATTTAAAATACAAAATAATAATATATTAACAGATACTTAGTTAACGGTGATATTATTATTTTTTTTTAATATTATATAATTATGTATCATAATTAATGGGAAAACGTTATCGCACAAATTTTTTTTCAGATAATCTGAAGTGTTTTATTAGTCGGTAGCTTTAAATAAATGCATTCAAGTATTTTTATACGTAAATAAAGAAACTACCTAAGCCGTATATTGTATAATGATTTTCCTAAAACAAGTGTTTAACGTGTCGTTATTTTTTTTGATTCTGAGGAATGTATTGATTTTCCCATAGTGTGTGTGTGTGTGTGTGTGTGTGTGTGTTTTTTGAGCCTGTGTATAGAATTTCAACTAAAAGGAGTACTCCAATCAAGGACGTAGCTGGAGATTTCATCAGAGGGGGTAACCAATTAACAAAATATATTTAGTGCTATCTATTTAGTGTATTTTTAAATTTTTTCACACGTCAAATTGGTTATCTTATTTTATGATCAGTAATTATGACTCACAAAGTAAATACAAAAAAATTTAAATTAAATATTAAAAATATTTAGTTAAAATTGTACTGTAAAAAGAAATAAATGAAAACTAGTGCTTGATAAAAAACATTGTGTTATTAGGTAGAAAATGATCATTTAAATACTTAGAATATCATTAAAAAAAAATCCATCGAAAAAATAAAAATTTGAAAAGTTATAAGCAGCTTAAATATTGGGTCATATATGGAATTAATATATTTTTTAGGTATGGATGGGTATAGAAATATCACCTACCTGTCCCCTCTTGGTTTAATAGTAAATGATTGGAAATGCATTCAAGTTGGTAGTTTCAAGGTATTCATTTTTTAATTTATTAATAGTTTTCTGAATACATGGTAAAGTTTTAAAAAAAATTTCTTATAGCAGTTTATAGAAAATATAAATGTTCATGTTTTTTTAACTTTTTTATAAATATACTAGAATAAATTGTTAAGAGAAGTATTGAAAATGTATTAAAAAGTTCTTCATAAATAGATTTAATATATATATAGTTAAAAGAAAAAAAATTGTATGTCAAAAAAAAAAAAAAAAATTACGAACGTTTAAATATTAAATTTTGACCAAACGGTATAAATAATTTTTTATATTTGTCACATTTTTGTAGTAAAAAATTCATAAAGTTATTAATTCTTCTAGTTAAGATTTAAAAATTGAATACAAGATTTTTTTTTACGATTTTATTTGTAGCGAAAAAAAAAACAGATTGGAAAAACTGATTCGCAATTCTCAAATTGATGACTTACAACACTGATTTATAAGCATTACAAAAATAAATGTTGATGAAATCGGATGTTTTGACGAGTTTAAATTAAGCAATATTAGTTATTTAGTAAATGATATATCAAGTTTTCCAGAATTTTCTAGAACATTCAAAGTTATAAAAATATAAAATATTTTATCTATCTTATTAAGAATCTTATTGGGAACAC